GGACCTTATTTATGTTAGCATAGCTAAGCTTAGACTCATGTACCTGGAATCTTGTGAGGTCATTCATATTCAGCCAGTATGCATTCTGTATGAGATGTGCAAAATTCTGTAGTGGATGCACCTCACACACTTCTAGTGTAGTTACACAAGGCCTCTCAGATCATGCAATTACAAATAAGTTGTTCCCAATGCCCACTCCCTCCTGAAATATTAACCTCTGCCAAGAAAAGTAAAATCAAACTTGTGCTCACTCCATCTCTTGTAGTCCCAGTTCATGTTACAAGTTTAGCTAGGTACTGCCTATTTTCCTTTCAGCTGCATATTTTGCAAAATATACTATGGTTATGTTATTAAATATAATCTGTGGTAATTAAAACACATGACTCTCAAAACAAATTAAAAGGATGTATTTTGGGAGATAGTATACTTGCTTTTATTATCTATTCACTAGGTAATTTGCAAAATTTGATCGTTTGCAGTTGTTGTTCTCAATCGGAAACACAGAGGTCTTCCAGAGGATAAGCTATTAGCCTAGTTTTACAAGAAGCTACATTAAAAGCACTATTAAACTCAATATAAACTAAAATGTTATGCAGACAAAATGAGAAAGTAGTAATTTGTCAGTAATAATACAGTATACTGTATCAGTTTGGTATTTTATGTCTGAGTTTCATAAGCAGGTACTTTTTCAAGGAGACAAAACTTTGGCTACGCAAGAAAAATCAGACTCCTGAAAGAGATACAATTGTCTGGAAAGGCTGAGAACCACAGATTCACAGTTCCTCTCTCTCTCTCTCTCTCTCTCTCTCTCTCTCAATTTCTACTTTGTTGATTTTACTCACTTTCCTCTTGTTCTGACATGGTTATCTACATAGCAGTCCTTTTTAAATTAAAATATTTTCTCCAAAGATAATCAGGAGTTAAAGTACAGTAAACCTAAAGCACAGCTAAGAGACTACCCTTAATAATCAGCCTTCCATGAGATTTCTCCAATGTATTCCCCCATGTATTTATATTACATTATATTAGCCTGTATTCATCAATAGAAATATCACTTAAAGCGGGAAAAGCACTACTGAAATAAAGACCAGTCTGCCTACTAGCACAGCACAATTTTAGCAGCATATTAAACTTTAAACCAAAAAAAGGCTTGTTGAATACAAAGACCTTGCATACGTTTTCTCTTACAGTATTTGTAGAAGGGTGACATGTTTCAAAGCAATAATCCTATACTGAAGATTATAATTTCAGCACCATGGTTGACTAACAGTTAAAAATCCCACCACTGAGCTGTTAACAGTGAACTTAAATTAAAGAGGCTTAAGTTTCTGCAGAAAAAAAAACAGCTTGATGCAACTCTAGTCAACTAATTTCCAAGGTTGTTCATGTTTCCATGCTTTTAAAACTCAATTATGTATCAAAGTAAAAAGGCCTGCTTCTGCACTCTCAGAAGTTAATGGGATTTTTGTCATCGACTTCAACAGGAAAAAGACCACATTCATACTATACCACTTCCACAATGTTGATTGCTTCCTATAGCTAAATGAAGAAAGATGGTGTAGTTACTAAGG